TTTATTACATTCTCACACAAGAATGTGGTTAGACCTTCAGAACACACACACACACAAACACTTATTTAAAAGCAATTGCTTGATTATAATTATAATAATTATTAAATAATATTTAAATATTTTTCTGTTATAAAAATTCTTTGAAAACAAATTTTTCCAGAAGATTAATTGGATTCACAAGAATGTGGTTAGACCTTCAGAACACACACACACAAACACTTATTTAAAAGCAATTGCTTGATTATAATTATAATAATTATTAAATAATATTTAAATATTTTTCTGTTATAAAAATTCTTTGAAAACAAATTTTTCCAGAAGATTAATTGGATTCACAAGAATGTGGATTGACCCACCCACAATCACTTTCTTCTGTCCAGCCACTAATTATAATGGAGACGATGACCGTAATGACTGTCTTACGTCTTGTTTTTAATTTAATTTTAATTATTGTTATAATTTTTCTTTTCTTTTTTCTAAAACTTTTTTTTTCGATGCAAGATCACACAAATGATCCGAAACGCACGTCAACCGCTTAGCCTCTTGGTAGTATGCCGACAACGAACAACCGATCGAATATCCGACCGACCGACCAACCTTTTTCTGTAGGTGGTGCTGTGATGAATGATAGTCAGTTACTAATCCCAGCGCCGAAGAGAGTCCGTTTATCGGTCGACTAAGCCGAATTTCCCTGTCACTTGATCTGTCCGTTTGGAATATCACGAGCAGAATGCTAGACATTTAGCCTGGATCTGCTTAATAACAACATCGAGTGAGCAGAGTTCTCCCAATGAAAAAATCGTAGATTTGTGTGTTGTTGTTGTTATATTTTTTATTATTATTGTTTGCGCGGTGATAACAGCAGGCGGCTGGCATCAGCGATCAGCGGCATTCTTACTTTCTTTCTCGTCGTCGTCGTAGCTATGTTATGAACATTTACTAGGTTTGTGTGTAATAAAAAAAAGTTAGAAAAAAAACAACATCAACAAAAACAAACGCTTGTCGCCTATTTTTATATCAACATTTCAAAATTTATAATACCCAGAACCAAACTGCCAGCCAACCGGGCAGCAATAAACAACGTGATGAGCCGGCCTATCAACATCGGTGATAAATTCAAAATTTTTTTCGCGTTTATCTTTATTTCGAGTTTGTGTTTTTTTACTTCTTCCTGAAATTGCGGGATGCTATATTTTGCAAAATCATTATTTGTTTTATAATAAAAAATATATATATAAAAAACAAAATAATAATTAAAAACATTAACGCACAAGTTGAGCCTTAGTATTTGGAATTTTTTTTCTAAATAACAGATAAAAGAAAATATTTAAATATTATGAAATAGCTTGTTTGGTATTTGATCCTTTGCTTGAAGACTGTCCCTATAGATCAGCTGATGGCTGACTACATAAACCATCTGATGGCTTTCAATATCAATCAGCTGATCATATAATATAGACCATATGATAGCTTTATATATCGATCAGCTGATGGTGTTTCTTTACTCCAGGTGATGACTGACTCTATAGATCAGCTGATATGTAGACCAGCTGATGGCTGTCAACACAGACCAGTTTATGACTGCCTATGTAGACCGCCAAATGGTTGTCTCTATAAAGATCAGCTAATATACAGACCAGCTGATGGCTGTCTCTATAGACTAGCTGATGCCTGTCTCTATAGATCAGCTAATTTACAGACCAGCGGATGGCTGTCTCTATAGACTAGCGAGTGGCTGTCAACACAGACCAGTTTATGACTGGTCTATGTAGACCAGCTAATGGTTGTCTCTAAAGATCAGTTTTTGGCTTTCTCTATACACTAGGGATACGTATTCGAGCGCAAAAGTCGACTTTTAGACTTCTCGATTTTTGCCTCTGACCAAAAAGTCGATTTTTAGACTTTTCGATTTTTGCCTTTACTAAAAAGTCGACTTTTTGATCTTTCCATTTTGTTAAAACAGTTCAAAATCGATTTTCGACATTTACTGACTTCTGGAAAATCGACTAAAAATTTGATTTTTTTTTATGAATTATTGTGAACAGATAAAGTAAAGTTCCGGAAAGTGCAATTTGAGCCCTGTGATAAAAAACCAAATATTTATGAAGAAAATCGAAAGTCGATCTTAAAAAGTCGACTTTACGATTTTCTCATAAATCAAAAGTCTTCTTCGACTTTTAGACTTTTCAATACAAAAAGTCGATTAATCGATTACTCGAAAGTCGATTTACTTATCCTTATTATAGACTAGATCATGATGCAATAATAAGGTGATGTATCGCAACAACAACCTTTGTTTTTGTCTCGATTATCTGTCAAATTTTTCCATATAATATTTCAAATGGTTGGCAACACTGCACATCGAATTCAAGTAGAAATTACCCACTTTGACATTTAATCAAGACATCAGCTATGCTAAATGGACTACCTATTCATTGTGCCATGCTCCAGGTGATGACTGACTTTATAGATCAGCTGATATGTAGACCAGCTGATGGCCAATAATGCACAAAATAGTACGATAGTCATTTTTGTTGATGACCACTTAGTTACGCTCTCACATACTTACTCTTAATTTAGTTCTGTTCAACACTGCTGTAAACCAACTGATTGTTGACTAATTATGGATGACCGGCTGATGGCAGTTTTTTAGACCAACTGCTGTCTGCCTCTATAGACCAGCTAATGGCTGTCTATACAACCATCTGATGGCTTTCAAAATCGATCGACTAATGGCTATTTCTATATATGCATATATTTATATTACCTGCTGATGACTACATCTGTTGACCTGCTAATGGCTGTCTATACAGACCACCTAATGATTGTCTATATCGATCAGTTCTGGTATAGACCACATCAGTCATGTTAATCCAAAAGGCGGACATGTTAACGGATACGGTACAAGGACAATCCGATGCTCATTATAATTCTCCATTTGACAACACTGTCAGGAGAGAAATATCAGTATATGAAAAACAAAGTCCCCGCCAGTTTCTATTTGCAGCTAACCTTACTGCTGATGGAACTCATGTATGGATAATATATGGCGACTGAAAAAATTCCTAAAAGGCAAATCCATGGGACCTAGGGATAAGTAATTCGAAATCGAGTCGAAATCGACTTTTGATCTTTGAGGAAGTCACAAAGTCAACACATTTCAAGATCGATTTTCTCCATAAATAATTGGTTTATTAGCACAAAGCCCAAATTGTCCTAAAATTACGCATATCAGAACATTATTTTATCTGTTGAAAACAAAAAATCGAATTTTTAGTCGATTTTGCGTTATTCGGTTTAAGTTGAAAATCGATTTTTAACTGGTTTGACAAAATCGAAAGATCGAAAAGTCGACATTGTATTTAAAGGCAAAAGTCGAAAAATCTAAAAATCGACTTTTTGGTCAGAGGCAAAAATCGAAAAGTCTAAAATTCGACTTTTGCGCTTGACTACGTATCCCTTTTAGGACCTGATGGAAACCCTGGACTTTGTGTGTAAGGAAGACCACTGGTACTACAGGCCAATTAGAGATGTACTGGAAGAGAGAGAAATTAGAGATGTACTGGAAGAGAGAGAGAGAGCAATCCTATCTGGTAGTCTTCAGACAGCACCATTCGACATCACATGCCCTGATTATCGTAGGGGAATATGTGACTTGAGCTATAAATAACAATCGTTAGTTTAGTTTTTTTGCATGTGATAATGTCTGGCAAAAGGCAATCATATATAAATTGAGAAAGCCAGGCTTCGGATTTAATATATGTAGGCTTGTGGTTAGTTTTCTAGTCGACAGAAGTTTTAGGGTAACGTTTGAAGACAACTTTTCGTCAGAAAGGCCAGTTGATTCCAGGGTTCGACAAGAATCTTTCCTTGAGCCCATTCTCTTCAACATTCGTATTAGTGTATACCGCATGCGCCCGTAGGGCAATTACTCCTAGAATACGCAGATGACATATTTGACGCTGCAGCGGGAGCTCATGCAGGGAATATTAATAACAGACTAAAGGCATATTTAGAGCAAGTCTCTGAATACCCCCAATCAGGGAAAAATTCATCTAAACGTCGATAAATGTGAGGCGATAACATTCAAAGGCAAGAAGAAATACTTATACCGCAACGATAGGAAGTATAAACCTACTCTGCCGATTGGAGGGCAAACAATAAGAAAGTCCGACCCAAATTAAATATCTGGGAGTTATCTGAATTCGACGGGGAATATTGACTACCTTCCCAGAAAAGTCAAAGGCGTATTTTGGTGCTACCAGCGTGCTACCAAGCAATTGGCGAGTCCGCCAGGTTAGACTACTTATCTACAAACAGATACCAGGGCCACTAATTAGTTATGCCTTCCCTGTTTGGTTTGGGATCTCTTCCCACCAAATGGAGAGGCTGTGTATTTGGCTGAGGTGGATTCTTAGATGGTGTTTGGGTCTAATGCCACAATACAAGGGGTAGATGGAATTTGACGACTACCAGCTAATAGCTAATATGTATTCATACACTAAACTTCAGCCGAATAGCTATTTTTCTACAGGCCAGCTTTTTTAGGGGCCTAGACCGAGTGGAAACTTTAGAAAATTTAAATAATAAGTTAGTTAAAGATAGCCTTTTGAACGAAACAGATGTCGAAATGGTAATACGGGCCAACTATAGGCAGCTGATGAGTGTCCAAATAGACTAGCTGATGGCTGTCTATATATACTATATACTAATGACCTGTTGATAGCTGAAAAAATCCGACCACAGTTTCTGAGGTTGTAGTTTTTCTTTCCATTCTGTGTTCGCAATCTCTTCTGCCTAAAAGTATGCTACAAAAACGGATGTGAACGTTTGAAAAGATAACAATCATTTCATACATTGTGGACTAACTATGCTTTATCTAACAGAAGACTCTCTTATAAAAATCAGGCGGATTGTATGATTTGTTCGCTTCGAAAAAATTATTCATTTATTCTTTAAAAATTCTACAACAATAACAACAATTAAATTTAATAGCCCCTCTATCTAACCTCACTCGCAGATTCCTCATCACTGATCTCTCGTGCCTTATAATCATTCCATTTTTGTAGTGTCGAATCGGCAAAGGCCACATACAGGATGCCACTGCCCAATAGCATGGAGGCCGCAAGGAGAAAGACATATTTCCAGGCTTCAAAGGTTTGCTGGAAAAATTTAAATACTAATAATATTTTCCTCCACTCCCTTTTTCATTCAAATACTCACATTATCCAGCGTTATCAGACCCACAATATAGGGTGATATAAAACCCGGCAGTACACCAATCATACTACTCAGGCCCATTACAATGCCGGCAAAATTTGGTGTTATATCTACCATAGAGGCCAAGGAACCCGATGACACTGCACCATGAAACATTGTGGCCACACTGTAGAGGACAATGGCCGCCGTGGCATTCTGTCCGAAATAGGCCAGGATTACAACGACCAAACCTTTGATGATGCAACCTGGAAGATCGGAGAGAAACATTATTTATTTAAATTTTTTTCTACAGAAAAAAAATTGAACTCGGATTACTGAGGCTATTTTTTATTATAGAAAAAATCCGACCTCACATCCTGAGAAAAGAATCCACCTTAGGTTATTTCTTCTATAGAAAAAATCCGACCTCATGTCATAAGTAGGTTGTAAGTTTTTATTTTGTTAGTTAAACTCACTTCCTGCGACAAACCCAACCTCAGTTGCGGAGGTTATTTTTTCTATAAAAAAAATCCGACCTCAGTTGCGGAGGTTATTTTTTCTATAGAAAAAAAATCCGGAGATTACTTTTTCCAGTAGGAAAAATCCGACCTCAGTTCCTGAGGTTATTTTTTCTATAGAAAATAATCCGACCTCAGTTCCTGAGGTTATTTTTTCTATAGAAAAAAATCCGACCTCAGTTCCTGAGGTTATTTTTTCTATAGAAAATAATCCGACCTCAGTTCCTGACGTTTTTTTATTTTCTATAGAAAAGTCAGAACTCAGTTCCTGACGTATTTTTTTCCCCAGGGCTGGGTATGTCTGTCGATTCACTTACAAAATGTTGTTGCCAATTTTCGAATATTCGTACGGCTCATTTTCTCCGTCTTCAGCAGATAATCGACAAAGAAGGAAAATCCAATAGCAAAGAGTATTCGCATCAAGTGAGGCAAACCCGATAATATACCAGTCTGCAGAGAAAAAATTCCAAACATTAAAAAAATATACCCTCCAAATCTCTCCCTCCCCTTCCAACATACCGTTTGAATATTCCAATTGTGTAGTACCCGAAAATATGTGGGAGCCTGGGTCATCAGCGTAAATAGACCCCATATGCTACCCCATTGGGCGATGACATTCATCCATACGGGTCGTGAGAGTAGTAATGCCCTCCATGGGGTTCGAACATTGGTCTCATTATCCACACTTTCACCCAATGACTTTTCAATATAGGTAACCTCCGAAGCACTTATTCGAGGATGTTGAGCTGGCGAATCATATACAAAATATTGCCATCCCAACCACCACAAGATACCCAAAATACCAGAGATATGGAAAACCCATGGCCATGAGGCCCAAAGCATTACGAAACCAAATAGAGGATAGAAGGCAGCCACACCCACCGAATTACCCAAATAGGCCGTCACAAATTTACTGCGTTCATTGGGCGGTATCCATTTGCCGGTCAGCACATGCATCGAGGGCCAGGCGAGGCCCTGTGAAAAAAAAAAAATAAATTGTAAATCTTTTTTCTAAGAGGTCAATATACTTACCGCCACAAGGCCTTGTACTACCCTTAGTACAATAAGGGCCCTATAATCCCAATGTGCGACAGCTGGTATTAGAAAACACAACCAACATCCGATGCCATTGGCGAGACCAAATACCAATTTGGTACCATATTTTCTACCCCAGATACCTCCTGGTATTTGGCTTATCCAATGGGCCCAGAAAAATGAGCCCAATACCAGACCCTGTTCGTATTCATTCCAATTGAAACCAGAGGGTTGATCGGAAGTCACCTGTGAATAAATAATGGTTTCTAATTTAAAATCGGAATTTCGAGCGATAGAGGGAGTTTTTATAGACGAGCTACAGAGGGAGTCTTTATAGACGAGCGATAGAGTGAGTCTTTATAGACGAGCGATAGAGTGAGTCTTTATAGACGAGCGATAGAGGGAGTCTTTATAGACGAGCGATAGAGGGAGTCTTTATAGACGAGCGATAGAGGGAGTCTTTATAGACGAGCGATAGAGGGAGTCTTTATAGACGAGCGATAGAGGGAGTCTTTATAGACGAGCGATAGAGGGAGTCTTTATAGACGAGCGATAGAGGGAGTCTTTATAGACGAGCGATAGAGGGAGTCTTTATAGACGAGCGATAGAGGGAGTCTTTATAGACGAGCGATAGAGGGAGTCTTTATAGACGAGCGATAGAGGGAGTCTTTATAGACGAGCGATAGAGGGAGTCTTTATAGACGAGCGATAGAGGGAGTCTTTATAGACGAGCGATAGAGGGAGTCTTTATAGACGAGCGATGGAGGGAGTCTTTATAGACGAGCGATAGAGGGAGTCTTTATAGACGAGCGATAGAGGGAGTCTTTTTATAGACGAGCGATAGAGGGAGTCTTTATAGACGAGCGATAGAGGGAGTCTTTATAGACGAGCGATAGAGGGAGTCTTTTTATAGACGAGCGATAGAGGGAGTCTTTTTTGACGAGCGATAGAGGGAGTCTTTATAGACGAGCGATAGAGGGAGTCTTTATAGACGAGCGATAGAGGGAGTCTTTTAGGCGACACATTTACTTACCTGCTCTGCTGATTCATTCCAAAATTCTGGCAGTTCCATATTAAAATAAATGAGTCCATTGGAGCTATTAGTAACACTCCGGTCCTCATATGTGCTTGAAACTAATTGATGATCTGCTGCTCTTTGTACATTTTTGCCCAGAGAACGGGTGTTGGCCTGCACCACCATTTCCACTATGGCAATATTCAAATTGATGCGTATCATATAATTCAGAGCAAAACCGAAAAATACCAGATACCACAGGACTGTGCGGGCTTGGACTGGAAAGAAAAAAATGTTAGTACACTCAAAAAAAATATTTAAAAAAATCTACGGCTTTTAAAAAAATATTTTTAAAAAATCCACGCCTGTTGCTACACTCGAAAAAAATCCACGGCTATTGATACACTCGAAAAAAATCCACGCCTATTGATACACTCGAAAAAATCCACGCCTATTGATACACTCGAAAAAATCCAGGCCTATTGATACACTCGGAAAAAATCCACGCCTATTGATACACTCGGAAAAAATCCACTTGATACACTTGGAAAAAATCCACTCCTATTGATACACTCGAAAAAAATCCACGCCTGTTGCTACACTCGAAAAAAATCCACGCCTATTGATAGACTCGAAAAAAAATCCACGCCTATTGATACACTCGAAAAACATCTACGCCTATTGATACACTCGAAAAAAATCCACGCCTATTGATAAACTCGAAAAAAAAATTCACGACTTTTGCTACACTCGAAAAAAATCCATGTCTATTGATACACTCGAAAAAAATCCGCGCCTATTGATACACTCGAAATAAATTCACGCCTATTGATACACTCGAAAAAAATCCACGCCTGTTGCTACACTCGAAAAAAATCCACGCCTATTGATACACTCGAAAAAATCCAGGCCTATTGATACACTCGAAAAAATCCAGGCCTATTGATACACTCGGAAAAATCCACGCCTATTGATACACTCGGAAAAAAATCCAAGCCTATTGATACACTCGAAAAAAATCCACGCCTATTGATACACTCGAAAAAAATCCACGCCTGTTGCTACACTCGAAAAAAATCCACGCCTATTGATACACTCGAAAAAATCCAGGCCTATTGATACACTCGAAAAAATCCAGGCCTATTGATACACTCGGAAAAAATCCACGCCTATTGATACACTCGGAAAAAATCCACTTGATACACTTGGAAAAAATCCACTCCTATTGATACACTCGAAAAAAAATCCAAGCCTATTGATACACTCGAAAAAAATCCACGCCTATTGATACACTCGAAAAAAATCCACGCCTATTGATACACTCGAAAAAAAATCCGCGCCTATTGATACACTCGAAAAAAAATCCACGCCTATTGATACACTCGAAAAAAAATCCACGTCTGTTGCTACACTCGAAAAAAATCCATGTCTATTGATACACTCGAAAAAAATCCGCGCCTATTGATACACTCGAAATAAATTCACGCCTATTGATACACTCGAAAAAAATCCACGCCTGTTGCTACACTCGAAAAAAATCCACGCGTATTGATACACTCGAAAAAAAATCCTCGCCTATTGATACACTCGAAAAAATATTTTTAAAACTAAACTCGAAAAATATTTCTTTAAAAATCCAATCTTCTGTCGGCTCACGAAAAAATAGTAGGGTGTCTTAAATTTTTGCATTTAACAAAAATTGCAATATATTTTTTTGAGATAAATATTTCAGTTTGACAACTAAAATAATCTTATTGGCCGTCATATATCCATTAGCCATGGTTTGATAAGGCTGTCTGATAAAATTAAAAGTGTACAGAATCAAAGGTAATATACATCGTTAAGATAAAGTGGCGGTCGCGAATATATTTAGATTTGTGTGTGTGGTAGCGTGTGTGAATTTCGACCTATATTATATCGTTTATTAATAGAACACATTCTATAGGTCTCTTATTAATATAAGAACTTTAAATGGGCTTCTAAAGATAAGCGGATATTTTAATATTCCCTCCATCGAATCATTGCAGGACCAAATCATCGAACTTTTAATAATATTAATTGACTCTTACCGTTACACATTTTAGTGAAAAATATATTTTAACTGAAATTTTTAAAATTTTGTTTGGTAATCTAATTATTCGATCTGATCGTTTGAAAAATCACAACTGAACTGCAATGCAATTTGACAGGTATCCACTTAGAAAAAAATTAGCTCAACGAGTTGTTTATTTTTTTATTGTTGTTTATGCAGTGATAACGCTAGGGAGCTGCAGCGTTGGAAACTCTTACTTTCATTCTAGGCAACGTGATGGAGATTATAAGCAAAATAAAAAATATATATAAATAAAATACTGCAGAAAAAATAGTTTGGAATTAGTTCAAATTATTGGTACAGGGTATTATGAGAATATGCACAGAATCTCTTTCTGGCAAAGTACAGGTCGCATTTATGATCCGAATTTGATTAAATTTGGCATAGGCCACTTATTTGGCCCAAGGACGAACCCTATTGAAATTGGGAAAAATCGGTTCAGATTTATATATATCTCCCATACATATTTTCGTCCGATTTTAGGTAAATGGTGCACCAAAGTCCCTATACAATTTTTGATTTGCACGAAATTTGGTATAGCGTTCTGAATTAAGCCTATAGTGATGTGTGCCAAGTTTCGTGAAAATCGGTTCAGATTTAGATACAGCTCCCATATATATTTTCGTCCGATTTAATGTAAATGGTGTACCAATGTCCCTATATATCATTCGATTTTCACGAAATTTGGCACAACGTACTCATTTAAGTCTAGAATGTTGTGTGTTAAGTTTCGCGAAAATCGGTTCAGATTTAGATATAGCTCCCATATATAGTTTCGTCCGATTTAATGTAAATGGTGTACCAAAGTCCCTATATATAATTTGATTTGCACGAAATTTGACATAGCGTAGTGAATTGAGCCTGTAGTGATGTGTGTTAAGTTTCGTGAAAATCGGTTCAGATTTAGATATAGCTGTCATATATATTTTCGTCCGATTTAAGGTAAATGGTGCAGCAAAGTCCCTATATATCATTCGATGTGTGTTAAGTTTCGAATGATGTGTTTTAAGTTTCGTGGAAATCGGTTCAGATTTAGATATAGCTCCCATATACATTTTCGTCCGATTTATGTTGTCCGATAAATGTTGTACCAAAGTTCCTATATATGTTTCGTTTTGCACGAAATTTGGCACAGCGTACTGAATTGAGCCTGGAGTGGTGTGTGCCAAGCTTCGTGAAAATCAGTTCAGATTTAGATATAGCTCCCATATATATTTTCGTCCGATTTAATGTAAATGGTGTACCAAAGTCCCTATATATCTTTCGATTTGCACGAAATATTTTTCGAGTGTATTTTTTATAATGGCCATTGACGCGATGTTTGGCATTTTTATGAACGCTGCAGTTTTTCCTTATCGCCACGCAAAATAACAAACATTTTTTTCTTTTTTTTTGAATAGTAGACCAAGGTGGTGCTGTTTGATGGTTCCAAGAAGAAAAAAACCTGTAGACTTCACTCGGTTCGTGTTATTTCAAGCGATCAGATCAAGTAAATTATTAAACTGATATACGATCGGGATAACTTCCATCTTTCTTTAATCCCTGTCCGTCCACTGGATTATCAAGAACCAATTACTTGGTCATGCGGCAGTTGTACTCAGGACCATCAGGATGTAATTTATAGCAAATTCTAAGAATTAAGAAAACAAAATACATAAATTATCGGTATTTTGATATTGGTTGACTCACAAACAAGAGGAATTATATAGAACAACAACACATTAAAAGCAACAACATATTCAAATATTAATAAAGACAACCAGCAACTGATAACACCATACCGCCAGACTAAGAAAACACCAAAGAGATCAGTGAAGAACATTGACGGATAATAAATGACCCCATTACAAATCGGAAAATACGTTGATTGCGGCGAATAGATTTGCCATCAAAATGTGTGAAGGTAAGTGGATTCAAACAAAACAAGATTGGGGGGATTTTCTAAAAATATTTTTCAAGGCGTGGATTTTTTTAAAAATTTTTTCTTGGGGCGTGGATTTTTTAAATTTTTTTCGAGTGTATTAATAGGCGTGTTTTTTTCGAGTGTATCAATAGGCGTGGATTTTTTAAAAATAAATATTTTTTCGAGTGTATCAATAGGCGTGGATTTTTTTAAAAATATTTTCTTGGGGCGTGGATTTTTTAAATTTTTTTCGAGTGTATTAATAGGCGTGTTTTTTTTTCGAGTGTATTAATAGGCGTGTTTTTTTCGAGTGTATTAATAGGCGTGTTTTTTTTCGAGTGTATCAATAGGCGTGGATTTTTTAAAAATAAATATTTTTCGAGTGTATCAATAGGCGTGGTTTTTTTTTCGAGTGTATATATAGGTGTGGATTTTTTCGAGTGTATCAATAGGCGTGGATTTTTTTCGAGTGTATCAATAGGCGTGGAGTTTATAAAAATAAATATTTTTTTTCGAATGTATCCATAGGCGTGGATTTTTTTCGAGTGTATCAATAGGCGTGGATTTTTTTCGAGTGTTTTTTTATATTAATAGGCGTGGATTTTTTTCGAGTGTATCAATAGGCGTAGATTTTTTTCGAGTGTATCAATAGGCGTGGATTTTTTAAAAATAAATATTTTTTCGAGTGTATCCATAGGCGTGGATTTTTTTAAAAATATTTTCTTGGGGCGTGGATTTTTTAAATTTTTTTTCGAGTGTATTAATAGGCGTGTTTTTTTTTCGAGTGTATTAATAGGCGTGTTTTTTTCGAGTGTATCAATAGGCGTGGATTTTTTAAAAATAAATATTTTTCGAGTGTATCAATAGGCGTGGTTTTTTTTCGAGTGTATATATAGGTGTGGATTTTTTCGAGTGTATCAATAGGCGTGGATTTTTTTCGAGTGTATCAATAGGCGTGGAGTTTATAAAAATAAATATTTTTTTTCGAATGTATCCATAGGCGTGGATTTTTTTCGAGTGTATCAATAGGCGTGGATTTTTTTCGAGTGTATTAATAGGCGTGGATTTTTTTTCGAGTGTATCAATAGGCGTAGATTTTTTTCGAGTGTATCAATAGGCGTGGATTTTTTAAAAATAAATATTTTTTCGAGTGTATCCATAGGCGTGGATTTTTTTCGAGTGTATCAATAGGCGTGGATTTTTTAAAAATAAATATTTTTTTCGAGTGTATCCATAGGCGTGGATTTTTTTCGAGTGTATCAATAGGCGTGGATTTTTTAAAAATAAATATTTTTTTCGAGTGTATCCATAGGCGTGGATTTTTTTCGAGTGTATCAATAGGCGTGGATTTTTTTCGAGTGTATCAATAGGCGTGGATTTTTTAAAAATAAATATTTTTTCGAGTGTATCAATAGGCGTGGAGTTTATAAAAATAAATATTTTTTTTCGAATGTATCCATAGGCGTGGATTTTTTTCGAGTGTATCAATAGGCGTGGATTTTTTAAAAATAAATATTTTTTCGAGTGTATCAATAGGCGTGGAGTTTATAAAAATAAATATTTTTTTTCGAATGTATCCATAGGCGTGGATTTTTTTCGAGTGTATTAATAGGCGTGGATTTTTTTCGAGTGTATTAATAGGCGTGGATTTTTTTCGAGTGTATCAATAGGCGTAGATTTTTTTCGAGTGTATCAATAGGCGTGGGTTTTTTAAAAATAAATATTTTTTCGAGTGTATCAATAGGCGTGGATTTTTTTCGAGTGTATCAATAGGCGTGGATTTTTTAAAAATAAATATTTTTTTCGAGTGTATCAATAGGCGTGGATTTTTTTCGAGTGTATCAATAGGCGAGGATTTTTTTCGAGTGTATCAATAGGTGTGAATTTTTTTCGAGTGTATCAATAGGCGTGGATTTCTTAAAAATAAATATTTTTTTTCGAGTGTATCAATAGGTGTGTATCTGTTAAAAATATTTTCTTGTAATTTATTTTTAATTCGTAGTCCAAGCCCGCACCGTCCTCTGGCATTTGGTATTTATCGGCTTTGCCGTCAACTATATGCTCTGCATTAATTTGAATATAACAATTGTGGATATGGTTGTGCCGGCCAAAAATAAGTCACTGCCGGCCCAAGGTACTGGGAAATTATCAGAAAATATGACTGAATACAATGTTACATCGATAGGAAGTTTGTATGGACTGAAGGTTATAGAGAACGTATCTTCGGAAGAGGTAAGTCAATAAATGTTTCATCAGAACTTCTATGTAGAGGCGCACTACGCAACATACCTATAAGATCGTCTACAAAGTCACCTTCCAGAGCACACCAAAAACACCCTTCAGGGCTCACCTATAAATACCCCCACTTCGTCTTTAAATATACCCTATAGTCTATAAAGACTCCCTCTATCGCTCGTCTATAAAAAGACTCCCTCCATCGCTCGTCTATAAAAAGACTCCCTCTATCGATCGTCTATAGAAAGACTCCCTCTATCGCTCGTCTATGGAAAGACTCCCTTCAGCTCGTCTATGGAAAGACTCCCTTCAGCTCGTCTATGGAAAGACTCCCTTCAGCTCGTCTATGGAAAGACTCCCTCTATCGCTCGTCTATAGAAAGACTCCCTCCATCGCTCGTCTATAAAAAGACTCCCTCCATCGCTCGTCTATAAAAAGACTCCCTCTATCGCTCGTCTATAAAGACTCCCTCTATCGCTCGTCTATAAAGACTCCCTCTATCGCTCGTCTATAAAGACTCCCTTCAGCTCATCTATAAAGACTCCCTTCAGCTCGTCAAAAAAGACTCCCATCAAGTCTCTATAAAGACTCCCTTCAGTTCCCTTTAGAATTAATCTATAAAGCTCCCTATTCCCTTTATTTTTAAAGTCGGGTGTGTGCTTTTAGGCGTTCGTAATTCAAGAGCAATCAGCTGATCCTCTTTTTATTATTTTCAGCCCATTCCCGCCAATCAAATCCGCTTCAACTGGAATGAATATCAGCAATCCTTAGTGTTGGGTTCATTTTTCTGGGTCCATTGGATGACCCAGCTGCCGGGTGGCATTTTGGCCAAAAAATATGGTACCAAGCTGGTATTTGGTCTGTCAAATGTGATCGGGTGTTGGTTGTGTTTTCTAATACCAGCTGCGGCCCATTGGGATTATAAGGCCCTCATAGTACTGAGAGTACTGCAGGGTCTTATTATGGTAAGGATTTGGAGAACCTTTTTTGGATATCTAATATTATCGATCGAATGTCTTGTTCTCCTAGGGTTTCACTTGGCCAGCCATGCATGTGTTGACCGCCAAATGGATACCGCCCAATGAACGTAGTAAATTTGTGACCGCTTATATGGGCAGCTCGGTGGGCATAGCTGTGTTTTATCCTCTTTTTGGTTATATCATGCATTGGGGTTCATGGGTGTGGGTCTATCATTTCTGTGGTATTTTGGGTACCGCGTGGTGGTTGGGATGGCTCTACTTCGTCTATGATACACCAGCTCAACATCCACGAATAAGTGAAGAGGAATTGCGTTACATTGAAGTAGCATTGGGTACGACGGTGCAGAGATCGCCAGCAGTGGGAACACCATGGAAGGAGATTCTACTTTCACGACCTGTGTGGATGAATGTCATTGCCCAGTTTGGTGTGATATGGGGTCTATTTACCCTGATGACTCAGGCGCCGACATATTTTAGTGTCATACATAATTGGAATATTCGAGCGGTAGGCCGAAAGGGATGGGGGATTTTGTTTTGATTTAATTTGAAATAAATTTTCGTTTTAGACGGGCATATTATCCGGCTTGCCGCATTTGTTGCGCATGGCCTTCGCCTATGGATTTTCCGTATTTGCCGATTATCTGCTGAAATCGGAGAAAATTAGTCGCACAAATATTCGCAAATTGGCAACGGTATTTTGTAAGTATGCGGGGATTTGTCTTCTATAGAAATAATTCTCCTCAGAACCTGAGGATTTTTTTCTATGGAATATAATTTTCTGAAGGTCCTGAAGGATATGTCCTCAGAATATGAAAACTTTTTTGAAAAATCGAAACAATAAATTCTCAAGTCCTGAAAATATTCTCAAGACCTATAGAAAAAAATCCTGCCTAAAACCCTAAGCCAGGAGGACAATCCTTTATTTAAAAAAAATCTCAGGTGCTAAAGATTTTTTAGACTAAAATTTTCAGGACCATTATCCTCTTGTGCTAAAATTTTTCTTTAAAAAAATTATTAGAATCTGAGATTTTTTAAAGAAAAGGTTCGTCTATAAAAGAAGATTCCCACTATCGCTCGTCTATAAAGACTCCCTCTATCGCTCGTCTATAAAGACTCCCTCTATCGCTCGTCTATAAAGACTCCCTCTATCGCTCGTCTATAAAGACTCCCTCTATCGCTCGTCTATAAAGACTCCCTCTATCGCTCGTCTATAAAGACTCCCTCTATCGCTCGTCTATAAAGACTCCCTCTATCGCTCGTCTATAAAGACTCCCTCTATCGCTCGTCTATAAAGACTCCCTCTATCGCTCGTCTATAAAGACTCCCTCTATCGCTCGTCTATAAAGACTCCCTCTATCGCTCGTCTATTCTGGGGTTGTAATGGGTCTGAGTAGTATGATTGGTGTTCTGCCAGGTTTTATATCACCCTATATTGTGGGTGTACTGACATTGGGAAATGTGAGTATTTTGCAGAGTTTTGGAGGGATATAATTTCAAAATTTTATTTCAATATTTTTTCTAGCAATCCTTTGAAGCCTGGAAATTTGTATTCCTTATAACTGGCCTCATCTTAATTGGCTGTGGGGTACTGTACGTTCTCTTTGCCGATTCCACGTTGCAGAAATGGAACGACTATAATGCACGCAAGGATGACAGGGAGTCAATGCGGCTAACGAAGGATAATTAAATATGCTTTTGTGTAATAAAAGATATTTTTCAAAAAGATAATCTGAAGGTCCTTGAAAAGACCTTAAAGACCTCTATGTTTTTAGACAACAGAAAATTAAAATGCGTTTTTTAGGCGTTAGAAGCGTTTAAAGGCCTTAAAATGCCTTTTTAGACCACAGAAAATTAAAATGCGTTTTTTAGGCAAAAAATTAAAATGCAGAAAATTAAAGTTTTTTAGGCGTTAGAAGCGTTTAAAGGCCTTAAAATGCCTTTTTAGACCACAGAAAATTAAAATGCGTTTTTTAGGCGTTAGAAGCGTTTAAAGGCCTTAAAATGTCTTTTTAAATTACAAAAAATTAAAATGCGTTTTTTAGGCGTTAGAAGCGTTTAAAGGCCTTAAAATGCCTTTTTAGACCACAGAAAATTAAAATGCGTTTTTTAGGCGTTAGAAGCGTTTAAAGGCCTTAAAATGCCTTTTTAGACCACAGAAAATTAAAATGCGTTTTTTAGGCGTTAGAAGCGTTTAAAGGCCTTAAAATGCCTTTTTAGACCACAGAAAATTAAAATGCGTTTTTTAGGCGTTAGAAGCGTTTAAAGGCCTTAAAATGCCTTTTTAAATTACAAAAAATTAAAATGCGTTTTTTAGGCGTTAGAAGCGTTTAAAGGCCTTAAAATGCCTTTTTAAACCACAGAAAATTAAAATGCGTTTTTTAGGCGTTAGAAGCGTTTAAAGGCCTTAAAATGCCTTTTTAGACCACAGAAAATTAAAATGCGTTTTTTAGGCGTTAGAAGCGTTTAAAGGCCTTAAAATGCCTTTTTAGACCACAGGCGTTAGAAGCGTTTAAAGGCCTTAAAATGCGTTTAAAGGCCTTAGACCACAGAAAATTAAAATGCGTTTTTTAGGCGTTAGAAGCGTTTAAAGGCCTTAAAATGCCTTTTTAGACCACAGAAAATTAAAATGCGTTTTTTAGGCGTTAGAAGCGTTTAAAGGCCTTAAAATGCCTTTTTAAATTACAAAAAATTAAAATGCGTTTTTTAGGCGTTAGAAGCGTTTAAAGGCCTTAAAATGCCTTTTTAAATTACAAAAAATTAAAATGCGTTTTTTAGGCGTTAGAAGCGTTTAAAGGCCTTAAAATGCCTTTTTAGACCACAGAAAATTAAAATGCGTTTTTTAGGCGTTAGAAGCGTTTAAAGGCCTTAAAATGCCTTTTTAAATTACAAAAAATTAAAATGCGTTTTTTAGGCGTTAGAAGCGTTTAAAGGCCTTAAAATGCCTTTTTAAATTACAAAAAATTAAAATGCGTTTTTTAGGCGTTAGAAGCGTTTAAAGGCCTTAAAATGCCTTTTTAGACCACAGAAAATTAAAATGCGTTTTTTAGGCGTTAGAAGCGTTTAAAGGCCTTAAAATGCCTTTTTAAATTACAAAAAATTAAAATGCGTTTTTTAGGCGTTAGAAGCGTTTAAAGGCCTTAAAATGCCTTTTTAGGCCTTAAAATGCCACAAAAAATTAAAATGCGTTTTTTAGGCGTTAGAAGCGTTTAAAGGCCTTAAAATGCCTTTTTAAATTACAAAAAATTAAAATGCGTTTTTTAGGCGTTAGAAGCGTTTAAAGGCCTTAAAATGCCTTTTTAAACCACAGAAAATTAAAATGCGTTTTTTAGGCGTTAGAAGCGTTTAAAGGCCTTAAAATGCCTTTTTAAATTACAAAAAATTAAAATGCGTTTTTTAGGCGTTAGAAGCGTTTAAAGGCCTTAAAATGCCTTTTTAGACCACAAAAAATTAAAATGCGTTTTTTAGGCGTTAGAAGCGTTTAAAGGCCTTAAAATGCCTTTTTAAATTACAAAAAATTAAAAAAAATTAAAATGCGTTTTTTAGGCGTTAGAAGCGTTTAAAGGCCTTAAAATGCCTTTTTAAATTACAAAAAATTAAAATGCGTTTTTTAGGCGTTAGAAGCGTTTAAAGGCCTTAAAATGCCTTTTTAAATTACAAAAAATTAAAATGCGTTTTTTAGGCGTTAGAAGCGTTTAAAGGCCTTAAAATGCCTTTTTAAATTACAAAAAATTAAAAAAAATTAAAATGCGTTTTTTAGGCGTTAGAAGCGTTTAAAGGCCTTAAAATGCCTTTTTAAATTACAAACCAGTAAGGAAAGTAGTAAAGTCGGACGGGGCCGACTTTATGATACCCTTCACCACTTTGAGTATATTCAACAGATGAATCCTAACAGACGTCGCATTTTTAACGGATCAGTAAAATGAATTTGGAACCATAAACACGTCATTCTGCAACCGATACTAAATTGTTCATTTGGTCAGATATAGAAGCTTATCTAAATCAGAACCGATTTCAGGAAACTTAGCAAACATCTAGACCCAATTCATTACGCTGAGCCAAATTTAGTGCAAATCGAGAGATATATAGGGACTTTTGTGCACACTTTACCTTAAATCGGACGAAAATATATATAAGATATATAACTAAATCTGAACCGATTTCCAGGAAACTTAACACACATCATTCTAGAGATAATTCATTACGCTGTGCCAAATTTCGTGCAAATCGAAAGATATATAGGGACTTTGGTGCACAATTTACATTTAATCGGACGAAAATATATATGGGAGCTATATATAAATCTGAACCAATTTTCAGGAAACTTAACACACATCATTCTAGGCCTAATTTGTTACGCTGTGCCAAATTTCGTGCTTAAATCGCATATGCATATTCTCAAAAGTGTGTATGTCGTTTCCTTTTGCCTGTTACAAACATATGCATAAGACATAATACCCTGTACCACAGTGTGGTGAAGGGTATAAAAAAATTTGGTTCAAGAACCTCAAAATACGAAAATTGAGGGTACCCTTATATATGGGATACCAGAAAAAATTGACCAATATTTATAATTTATAGTGGAGAGATTTGCTACCTAATAAGAACTCGACTAACTAAATTACAGTCAATTCGGTCGAAAAATACGATCAGAACCCCCAAAATACCAAAAATTTGGGGGTACCGTTATATGGGGACTACCATAAAAACTAGACCTATATTTATAATTTTTAGTGGAGTAATTTGGTACCCAATAAGAACCCAATGTACAAAATTTCAGAGAATTCAGTTATAAAACGTGCCCAAGAACCCGAAAATACCGAAAATTGGGGGTACCCTTTTATGGGGGCTCTCCGAAAAAATGGACCTTTATTTATAATTTTTGATAGGGAGATTTGCTACCCAATAAGAACTCAAAGTACCAAATTTCAGCGAATTCAATTAAAAAACGCGCTCAAGAACCTCAAAATACCGAAAATTTGGGGGTACCCTTTTATGGGAGCTATCCGAAAAAATGGACCTATATTTATAATTTTTGGTAGGGAGATTTGCTACCCAATAAGAACCCAAAGTACCAAATTTCAGCGAATTCAATTAAAAAACGCGCTCAAGAACCTCAAAATACCGAAAATTTGAGGGTACCCTTTTATGGGAGCTATGCCTATACGTCGACCGATTTTCTCCAATTTCAATAGGGTTCGTCCTTGGGCCAATTAAGTAATCTGTGCCAAATTTCATCCAAATCGGATCATAAATGCGACCTGTACTTTGTTCACAAAAATACATGGACGGACAGACGGACAGACGGACAGACGGACGGACGGACGGACGGACAGACGGACATGCGTAAATCGACTCAGAATGTGATTCTATGCATATTCTCAAAAGGAACCATGGGTCTATCTCGATTATTTTTGCCTGTTACAAACATATGCACAAAGACATAATACCCTGTACCACAGTGTGGTGAAGGGTATAAAAATTAAAATGCGTTTTTTAGGCGTTAGAAGCGTTTAAAGGCCTTAAAATGCCTTTTTAAATTACAAAAAATTAAAATGCGTTTTTTAGGCGTTAGAAGCGTTTAAAGGCCTTAAAATGCCTTTTTAAATTACAAAAAATTAAAATGCGTTTTTTAGACGTTAGAAGCGTTTAAAGGCCTTAAAATGCCTTTTTAAATTACAAAAAATTAAAATGCGTTTTTTAGGCGTTAGAAGCGTTTAAAGGCCTTAAATGCCGTTAGAAGCGTTTAAAGGCCTTAAAATTTGTAGGCGTTAGAAGCATTTTAATTTTTTGTAATTTAAAAAGGCATTTTAAGGCCTTTAAATTACAAAAAAAACCCCAGCAAAATTGGGTGCAATATCTACCATAGAGGCCAAGGGACCCGTTGACACGGCACCATGAAACACGATGGCCAATGTCAGCAGGACAATGGCTGTTGTTGAATTATGACCAAAGTAGGCCAATGACAGGATCATCGAGCCCATGACAATGCAACCTGAAAAGGAGACAAATTTTAAATAAATTCTCAAGACCTTTAAAAAAATCCTGCATAAAACCTTAAGTCAGGAGGACAATCTTTTCTTTAAAAAATATCGGGTTCTAAAGATTTTTTGCAATAGAGGGAGGGAGTCTTTATAGACGAGCGATAGAGGGAGTCTTCTTATAGACGAGCGATAGAGGGAGTCTTCTTATAGACGAGCGATAGAGGGAGTCTTCTTATAGACGAGCGATAGAGGGAGTCTTTTTATAGACGAGCGATAGAGGGAGTCTTTTTATAGACGAGCGATAGAGGGAGTCTTTTTATAGACGAGCGATAGAGGGAGTCTTTTTATAGACGAGCGATAGAGGGAGTCTTTTTATAGACGAGCGATAGAGGGAGTCTTTTTATAGACGAGCGATAGAGGGAGTCTTTTTATAGACGAGCGATAGAGGGAGTCTTTTTATAGACGAACGATAGAGGGAGTCTTTTATAGACGAACGATAGAGGGAGTCTTTTATAGACGAACGATAGAGGGAGTCTTTTTATAGACGAACGATAGAGGGAGTCTTTTTATAGACGAGCGATAGAGGGAGTCTTTTTATAGACGAGCGATAGAGGGAGTCTTCTTATAGACGAGCGATAGAGGGAGTCTTCTTATAGACGAGCGATAGAGGGAGTCTTCTTATAGACGAGCGATAGAGGGAGTCTTC